AGGGTCTCTGGAGCCCCCAGGGTGAGTCACATCTCCTACCTCAGAAGCTCCTCGGGCCTTCTGGTCGTCTTTGACAGAAGCTCGTACAGGAACAGGGCCTGAGGGAAGAGAATGACCGACAGTGCTGATGGAGCCTCCTTGTGTGCCCAGCATTGTGAGGCCAAGCAGGGAAGGCACTCTGCGATCCCATTTTACAGGTGGGGAAGTGGAGGTTTCCCAGACTATGTTACTTAGCCAGGACCATACAACTGCTTAGTGGCAGAGCCATGATTTGAACTGGTGTCAGGTTAATTCCAGAGCCCACGCTCTCACACTGCAGGTGATTCCCCAAGCTCCAAGGGGCAAATGAGGAAGGGGAAAGTCGTTGGGCAGCAGGGTAGGACATTACTTCCCATGCTTTACAAAGCTGTGCTTCACTGGCCCATTGAGGCCCCTCTGTAACCCCCATTTACATGCCCTGCCCACCTGCTAGTTCCTGAGCACCAGGCATCCTGGAGAGCAAAAGTGGAAGGGACAGACGAGCAGACCAGGACGGGCTAGAAAGCACCATCAATAAAGTAACTCCTGCTCGCCGCAGGCACTCCCCAAAACCCTCCCAGATGAGCACTCCAGGAGAACAATGCATAGGAAGCAGGGGACTCATTTGTTTTAAGGAACGTAATTTCACAGAATATCTAATTTGCAGATGCAATCAAGTATGACATTAGTCTATTTTATAGATTCTGAAACTTTGAACATAATTCTCCAAACAGAATAAATTATGAGGTAGCGTCAGGTGGCAGCATCTGTCACGTGGCAGCAGAGAGCCTTACAGTAGCATAAAGGCGCAGGCCAAAGGAGCAGCCATATAAGGCAGTTTTGGACACTCTGCATATGGCCCCAGATATTTCCATGGGCACTGGGTCAGGGTCTGGGACCCTCCCACACAGCCTTCTCCATCTCAGGAAATGGTAATTCCATAACTCAGTTGCTGAGACAAAGGTATCTTGAAGTCATCTGCAGCAGGATGTATTTTCCAAAATAAAATGATTGCTACTGCCACTAAATTTGGAGGTGGTTTGTTGCACAGCAATGTAGATCACTGGAAGCTCATCCAACGTCATGAGAAACCCTGAGCGAGAACCCCCAGATCAGACAGGGATTTTTGTCTGTTATGTTCACGTCTGCATTCTCAGCACTGTGAACAATGCCTGGGACATGTTGGTAGGTGCTGGATAAACAGTTGGTGACTGAATGAAAANGTGAACAATGCCTGGGACATGTTGGTAGGTGCTGGATAAACAGTTGGTGACTGAATGAAAAGGAAGTCAGAGAAAGTCCTAAAGCATCAGCCTCAATGGCACCATCCTCCCCAAGTGGCCTCGGAGCTGGCAGCATTTAATAATACAGCGAATCACCACCCATGTTTATAGACACTGCCCACGTGCCACACATCACTGATCCTCATGAGAAATCATCCCCATTTTGCACATGAGACAACTGAGGCCATGTAAGGAGGAGTAGCTTCTCCAAACCTAATACATAAATGGGAGTCACAATTCACACTCAGGTCTTGTCTAACTTTGTAACACTACGCTATTCTGCCTCCTGTCTTTAATCACACAAAAATAAATTTCTTTTACCAAATTAACTTTAAAACAGACCACACCCACAACACAGATATTCAGAAATATGGAATGGATCGTGGGCATCATCANAAACAGACCACACCCACAACACAGATATTCAGAAATATGGAATGGATCGTGGGCATCATCACGATACCTGGCTGCTCCGAAGCTCCTTTTCCTTCAGGACTGTAGAGTTGAACCCAGGTTCCCTCCATAAATCAAAGAGAGAAACTTCCTTAAAGAAAGCCCCTTGTATCTCCACAATGCCAGAGGCAGTATCTCCTGCTTTGATCATCTGCCAGAGTGAAAAGAAACATAATAACAACTTTGTAAAAGGTGCATTGAGCTTTGGGTAAAAGCAGGGCACTGCTCCACAGCCAATACAGCCCATCAGATCCGCTCAGCAGCCCTGGGAAGTAGGGACTATCATTATCCCCATTTCCCAGGTGAGAAGACTGAGACTTAACAAGTGATTGCTGGACAGGCAGTAAATGAGATCCAAGCCCAAATCTGTCTTACTCTAAAACCCACACTCATTATTTTAACCATATCCACTACTGCTATCTGCAAGGTGTTGGTGTTTTAGAACAAACTCCTCAGGTTTGGTGTCTTAGCAGATTTAGCCACTAGACATAGCAGGTCTGATAGAGTACGATGCCCAAAAGGCTCACTGCCAAGTGAGAAAGGAATTTGGACATGACTCTGAACCATGGAAGGAGCTTTCAGAAGCACTCTGAAGACTTCAGGATTCATGTTTAGATTTGAAAAACAAACTTTTAAAATGTTATTAGATCAAGAAGCCTGGTTTAAGAAAAGTCTTCCAGATTAGACAGGGAAGGAAGAGCGATGTGGTCTGGGAAGAATTATAGCATGACCAAAGGGGCTCTGTCTGGAAGGGAGGAGCAGTAAGTCCTCAGGAGAAGGCATTTCCCAGGTTCAGAACAGCCCCACACACCAAAGGTTAAGATAATCCCAGCCCTGAACAATGGCCCAAAGGCACAGCCCACTCACAAAACCCCAAACCACATCCTCTGTGAGCCACATGGCTGAGGACACCAAACACCATCTTCTCACCTTGCTGAGGATACCATGCTGCTGGGCAGGTGACAAATCAGACACATGCTGGGAGAGAGAGCTTCTCAGGACCTGTGAGATGTCCTTCCGATCCATGCCATAGAAAGCCTGGGTGCCAACCCCAGCCAGCAGCACACCCATCTGGCTGACATTGTAGAAGGACAGCACCTGGGAGAGGACCAACCACCAGCATGAGGCTCTGCTCTAAACCAGTGTGCATGCCAGGTATCAGGATGGGCGACACCTTATGGCACAACGGTGAGCAAGACAGATGTTACCTTCACAGGCCCTCCTTCCTTCTATCAGGAAAGAGAGTTAAATATCAAAACACAAGACACGTGATTAATGCTCTGCTGGGGGAATCATGATGCTATCCGAGGCCATAGTACAAATATCAAAAAGCCATAAGCCATAGCCCAGCAATGGCTTTTTTGTGTGTATAATTTGAACTAATGGACCACATTTAAAAATTGTTTTCAATTTTTAAATTAAATTGTTTAATAGGAAGAACTCCCAAAAAAACTCCAGATTTGAGTTTCTATTTAAAAAAGAAAAATCTTGGGCCGGCCCGGTGGCGCACTGGAGAGTGCGCCGCTTGGGAGCGTGGCGGCGCTCCNAAACAGACCACACCCACAACACAGATATTCAGAAATATGGAATGGATCGTGGGCATCATCATGATACCTGGCTGCTCCGAAGCTCCTTTTCCTTCAGGACTGTAGAGTTGAACCCAGGTTCCCTCCATAAATCAAAGAGAGACTTCTCCTTGTCTCAATTTAAATAAAAAATCCAAAGGAAGAAAGAACTCAGGTGACTCAGCTTGGGTCACATGTCTATCTTGGTTGCCACAGACAGACACTGTGATTGAGAACTCCCCCAAATTTCCATGTTGGGAAATTGTTCAGTAATGTTAGGAAATTGTTCAGTGGGAACGATCAGTAATTTACCAAAACAAAGAGATATGTTTCATTATTTTAACTATATCCCCTACTGCTATCTGCAAGGTGTTGGTGTTTTAGAACAAACTCCTCAGGTTTGGTGTCTTAGCAGATTTAGCCACTAGACATAGCAGGTCTGATAGAGTACGATGCCCAAAAGGCTCACTGCCAAGTGAGAAAGGAATTTGGACATGACTCTGAACCATGGAAGGAGCTTTCAGAAGCACTCTGAAGACTTCAGGATTCATGTTTAGATTTGAAAAACAAACTTTTAAAATGTTATTAGATCAAGAAGCCTGGTTTAAGAAAAGTCTTCCAGATTAGACAGGGAAGGAAGAGCGATGTGGTCTGGGAAGAATTATAGCATGACCAAAGGGGCTCTGTCTGGAAGGGAGGAGCAGTAAGTCCTCAGGAGAAGGCATTTCCCAGGTTCAGAACAGCCCCACACACCAAAGGTTAAGATAATCCCAGCCCTGAACAATGGCCCAAAGGCACAGCCCACTCACAAAACCCCAAACCACATCCTCTGTGAGCCACATGGCTGAGGACACCAAACACCATCTTCTCACCTTGCTGAGGATACCATGCTGCTGGGCAGGTGACAAATCAGACACATGCTGGGAGAGAGAGCTTCTCAGGACCTGTGAGATGTCCTTCCGATCCATGCCATAGAAAGCCTGGGTGCCAACCCCAGCCAGCAGCACACCCATCTGGCTGACATTGTAGAAGGACAGCACCTGGGAGAGGACCAACCACCAGCATGAGGCTCTGCTCTAAACCAGTGTGCATGCCAGGTATCAGGATGGGCGACACCTTATGGCACAACGGTGAGCAAGACAGATGTTACCTTCACAGGCCCTCCTTCCTTCTATCAGGAAAGAGAGTTAAATATCAAAACACAAGACACGTGATTAATGCTCTGCTGGGGGAATCATGATGCTATCCGAGGCCATAGTACAAATATCAAAAAGCCATAAGCCATAGCCCAGCAATGGCTTTTTTGTGTGTATAATTTGAACTAATGGACCACATTTAAAAATTGTTTTCAATTTTTAAATTAAATTGTTTAATAGGAAGAACTCCCAAAAAAACTCCAGATTTGAGTTTCTATTTAAAAAAGAAAAATCTTGGGCCGGCCCGGTGGCGCACTGGAGAGTGCGCCGCTTGGGAGCGTGGCGGCGCTCCCGCCGAGGGTTCGGATCCCATGTGGAGACCGGTTCCCGCTCACTGGCTGAGCGCGGTGTGGGCACAACACCGAGGGTTGCGATCCCGTTGCCGGTCCCCGGTACGGGCGCGACACCGAGGGTTGCAATCCCGTTACCGGTCAGTAAAAAAGAGACAAAAAGGAATAAATACATAAATAAATAAAATAAAAAAAGAAAAAAGAAAAATCTGAACATCAGGCAATGCTGGGCCCAAATTCCCACCTGGCAAAAATTGGCAAGAACTGAGCACCAGCTACCTCCTTAGGTGGGTCACGGGCTCTCAGTTCACCCAGCCCCTCTCCGCTTACCGCACTTTGAGGCGGCCCACTTCCCATTCATGTTACCTGACAGGCATCTGAAACACCAAAGCTTCACTCTCATGTACTTCCACGTAGAAGATTTAAGTTGAAATAAAGGTTTCAGGATAAAAGCCTGATATTTTATTGCAAATATGATTGGAGCTGGCTGTCCTATTGGAAGTTATATTTGGGGTTATTTTCCCTCCTTTCGAGTGAAGATGCTAGACGGTTTTCCATATGATCAGTGAGCGACATGCCATGGCTCCACAAAAAGACAGTTGAGTGGTTTCCTTTAGTTATTCTCTGTAGAATGGATAGTCTGTTACTGCCCCCAAAGAAGGCAAGACCTTCTGAGCTCTTGGCTTCTTAGTAAAAGTTGCCCCTCCCACCCTCAGTAGAAGAGTTGGAAACTAGGGAAGAGACAAACCACTTGGTCCAGGGCTGGGAGGGAACTAAACAGTCTCCCTCAGATCCCTAAAATCACATCCACGAAGAACTGTCAAGGTGGACCCATGGGGTGCCAATCAAGGTCCAGAAACAGGGAAGGTCTTCAAAGCCTTCAAACGAAAGGGACAAGATGAATGGGCTTATCCTTCAGCAGAAAGTGAGAATGGGTGCACAGTGGTCATGGCGCCATGATGGACACAGCACGGGAATAAGCGAGAAGGCTCTGAGCCAGATGTCCTGAGTTCAGTCCCAGCTGTGTCTCATTTATGTTGTCTTGGCAATCCCCTCACATGTTCTATGCCTCACATGAATAAACTGGAAAACGAAGATCACAGCATGGCTGCCCCCATAGGTTGTTGGGGAGATTAAATGATTAACTCACTTAGAACAGAACCTGGCACATAGGAGGCGCTTAATACATGTTTGTTGTTACTGTCATGCTGGAATTGGTCCCAATCCAATCCTCATGAGCCAGTCTGCATCCTGGGAAATGGCTGTGAGTATGAACTGGAAGAGTGGGACACCAAAATGCTTAGGACTCAAGTCTCTAGAGCCCTTTCAACTGGTCCAGCACAAAAAGACTAATTCCCCCAGGAAGAAGTTCTATTTCCCACCCTGCAAACAGTTAGAGCATGGACTAAGGCTCTTGTCCCCTCTAAACAGGACCTTCCACAGTAACAGTTCCCTCTCTGCATGCCTGAATAAAATAGGACTGGAATAAAATAGCCTGATCCCAGGATGAGGGGTGTGTTAGCAGCAAGAACATCCTGGGGTGGATCCCACGCATTGATTGACACCTCAGTGATAGCTAACGCCCAGCGAGCTCATACTCTATCATCACCTGATAGTCCAACTTCTTTATGTGCAGCAATTCACATAATCTTTGCAGCAATGCCGTGAGGTGGGTGCTATTGTCATCCCCATCTTACAAATAGGGAAACTGAGGCAAAGCGAATTAAAGTAAATTGCCGCATGTCACACACCTGGTAAATGGCAGAGCAAGGATGTAAATAGTTCTCCTCAGCACATCTTCTCACTAATTGGTTGCCCTGCTGTGTGCGTATTACTGGCTGTCATGGACTGAATGTTTGTGTCTCCCCCAAAATTCATATGTTGAACCCTATCCCCCAAGGTGGGATCTTTGGGAGGTAGTCAACTAACACGAGAGCACTTCAAAAAGTTTGCAGAGAAATGAGATTAAAAGATAATACCAATCTTTCCATGGGGTTTAGGTCCTCATTAAAGTCCACAGCATAGAGTTTAAGAGGAAATGATGAAATGGTGCTCCCTGAAACATCTCTTCTTTAAATTTAATTAGACAAATTATACTCAAACTAGTAGATGCCCTGGGAAGGCAATCAACATTAGGGCTAATAAAAAGCTTGAATAGTATAAAAGGGCTGGAGGAGGTATTGTAGAACCTTTCTAGCACTTATGAGAGGTAAATTAACACCAATTGCTAAACATAGAAACTGGATAAATTTCAATATTCATTTAGAAATTAATTTTATGATGCTGTCCTAAGTATTAAAATACAGGTTATACTTAAATCATTCAAAGTTTGGCATGTTCACACATGTGCACAAAGTATTTGATAGATATTTACACACTGGGAGACACAATTATGGTCTGACTTTGGAGTTTTGGCAGATCTGGGTTCAAATTCTGGCAAGTTTCCCTACTAGCTTTTTTTGGGTGCGTGTGATCCGAACCCTCGGGCGGGAGCGCCGCCGCGCTTCCCAAGCGGCGCACTATCCAGTGCGCCACCGGGCCGGCCCCCCATGAACTTTTTGAAGACCATCTCATACACCGGCCCTTGGGTAACTGGGCACTAAAGAAGAGTTAAAAGCACCAACTCGGCTGGCTGGTTAGCTCAGCTTGTTAGCATGCCACCTTGTAACACCAAGGTCAAGGGTTTGGATCCCCATACTGGCCAGCCGCCAGAAAAAACCCTCCAACTGACCTTCTCATGGGCCAAGAATTTGGCAGACAAGATGATGACCTGGCTCTTGGCCCAACCAGAGACCTGGTTGAGGGTGGAAATGGCACCGTGCACAGCCTCAGGGGACAGGGACTCCAGCTGACTGTAGGTCAAACCCACAACTGCATCCGACAAAGATCCCAGTGTCTCATTGAGGGTCTGGTTCTCTATGGCAATGTCCAGAAGGTCGGCTTTGAGCTGGAAGGAGAGCAGCCCGAAATGAGGGTCAACAGAAAAAGGGTGTTGGCTCCCTGACTACATGCTGGGGTGTGAAGGCCCCACAACACCCTCCCTACACTGCCCCATCAAAGCCTCTGTGCCCAAGGATGAGGAGGAGAGGGACTCCCACCATGCTCCACTGACAGCACCTCTGGCCTTGGCTTTAACATGCCACAAATTCACTTTGTGCTTCACTTAAATATTACTTTGTTATTAAATCAACCTGAAAGCATGGCAGAAGAAAACTTTGTTCCCTTACAACTCCACCACACCCTGGTCACATCTGTTTTCCTTTTGTGACCTTAAACTCTATGTCCATATATATGGCTGTTTTTCTTTTATGAAATATCCAAGGCCTTTTTCACGGTAATATATAATCTGTGTAAAAATAACTCTCAACAGTACCAGAAAGTAAAGCCTCCTAAAAATCCTACCTCATAAAAATAACTATAATTAGCAATTGGGTGTATATGCTTCTGAGACTTCTTCAGCCTTTATAAATATAGAGACAGTACGTAGTTTGTACAGAGTTGTAATAAGAATGGGAGCACAATTTTCTGTTTTACATTTTTCACTTAAAATTATGTCTTGTACGTGTTTCACATTTCTATGGTCACTTCCATAAGTATTTTATTACAATATGCCTGCCTAGTTATAGTCAAGTGTGTCTCCCAACTGCTTCCACTAAAAAAGGTGAAAAACTCGCCTACTGTAAAGCGACCTCTGCACACACAAAAAAAAGGGGGGGGGGGTTCATGTTTCAACACCTGAATTCATACAAACAATACACTTTTCATTCCAGACGGTGCACACAACCTTCCCGGCAATATTGAAATGGCCATTGGGGGGCAGCAGAGTGCAGTAATNCTTCTGAGACTTCTTCAGCCTTTATAAATATAGAGACAGTACGTAGTTTGTACAGAGTTGTGATAAGAATGGGAGCACAATTTTCTGTTTTACATTTTTCACTTAAAATTATGTCTTGTACGTGTTGCACATTTCTATGGTCACTTCCATAAGTATTTTATTACAATATGCCTGCCTAGTTATAGTCAAGTGTGTCTCCCAACTGCTTCCACTAAGAAAGGTGAAAAACTCGCCTACTGTAAAGCGACCTCTGCACACACAAAAAAAAGGTGGGGGGGGTTCATGTTTCAACACCTGAATTCATACAAACAATACACTTTTCATTCCAGACTGTGCACACAACCTTCCCGGCAATATTGAAATGGCCATTGGGGGGCAGCAGAGTGCAGTAATAGAAACAGCTGTCTTGGCACCTGGGTTCTCTCAATTCAGCAACTACCCTCCCCTAGAGCTCAGTTTCCCCACACGGAAAAGGAAGGGGTGGACTAGAGTGATGGTTCTGAGTGTGGTTCTAGACCAGCAGTAGCAGCATCATCTGGGAACTTAGAAATGCAAATTCTCAGGCCCAACCCCAGGCCTGCGGAAGCAGAGACTGGGCGTGGGCCAGTAATCTGTATTTCCGCAAGCCCTCCCGGTGCCTCTGATGCATGCTTAGGTTTTAGAAGCACTCAGCTAGATGATCCCAAAGCACAGAGGTAGATGAACCCTTTCGCAGCATCCCACCCCACTAATTATATTTGACTTTCTTCCTGGTCAGGGCTGCCACAGCTACCCTTCTGGCCTTAAAATACATTTATTTTTATTTTTGCTTGAGCTTGCTTAAGGGGGATTCTTTTCCTTGAAAACAAAGTATGCATTGACTAAGACAGATGACCACAATGTCAAATGCCAGACGTGACTGGGGATGTTATGGTTATGTGTGGAAAACTGCTGTGGGATTATTGATGGCTTGACCAAGATTTTCTTCAATATTGGTCTCACATTATCTTTTCAATTAAAAAAAAATGAGACCAAAAGAAGTGAAGGGGAGCAGGGCAGAACTGAGACTTGAATGGAAGAATGAAGAGAGAGATGGGGGTGGGAGGAAAAATGAGAGACAGTATGAGTTTGCTGATTTATCTAGAACCCTGGTCTAGGAACTCATGAAAACGCACCAATTCAGTGTTCTCAATTCTGGCTATGTTGAAATCACCTGAGGAGCTTTAAAAAACATACCACACCCAGGCCACACCCCGGAGCAGTGACATCAGAATCTCTGGGGTGGAGCCTGGCAGGGTGTTACCAATGCAGAGGTGGGTGTGAAAACCACTGCTTAATCTCCTGCTATTCCAGATATGCTGGACAGACGGGCAGCTTCAGCGTCACCTGGAAGCTTGTTAGAAGTGCAGCGTCACAGCCCCCACCCAGACCTGCTGAATCAGAATCTGCATTTAGGATCCCCAGGTGATCCATCTGCACATTTAGGTTTGAGATGGCTGCTCTGATTGAATTTTTATCCATCCAAGCTTTTTCTTACGCTGCTTTTTGTCGTTTCTTCCTATGTTAAGCTCATGCCAGTGTTTGAGGTACCACCTGCTGCAGCTGGACTTAGATCCTGATTAACACTGTTTGTTTCTCTCAAAAGCCAGGTGAGGCTGTTCTTCCCATTTCTCTGGCTGGTGAAACTGAGGCAGAGGCGTCAGGGCCTTGCACCCCGATCTGTACCTTCTGAACGCCAGCCTGGAAGCCCTTCAGGTGACCGCACTTTATCATCTGGTGAAGGAGGACTTGGGCCACGGCAGCATCCAGCAGCTCCAGGTCGTCATAGAAACAAACCAGCAGCCCCAACCTGTGCAAGAAGATAAGGGACACTGGGGGAGGGCTCAGAGCTGGGAACTACAACCACACCCCCTACCCAGTCCAAGCAAGTAGAGTCATGATCATAGCAGGTATTGTGCTGAGCCCTTCACCTGGATTATCTCATTACGACAACCCTACATGGTAGGCTCTCTCATTAGGCCCATTTCACAGAAGGACAAACTGAGACTCAAAGAGATCAAGTGACATGTCCAAGGCAAGTTGTGGAGCTGGCACTTAAACCTAGATCCATCCAAATATGCCATCTCTCCTCCTGGGATGGATAAAGGGCATAAGGAGAGAATGGTGCTGAGTTAGAATACTCCCCATTTTCCACATGGAGATAAGGGCTTTGTCCACCCCGAGGGACTGACTCTCTGAAGCAGAGATCTATTTCCAGGATTCCTTCCTACCTACACACCCAGGTGTTGCAAAGATTTCAGAAGGGGGGGAAAAGGCGACAGAACAGTGTAGGGGCAGAGGGGGGATTTGAACCCTGGTCTAACTGAGAGCAATATATCTTGTGGTTAAGAGCATAGGTTCAGGCCAACGGGAATTTGAAGCCCAGCTCTATGAGATGTTTGATCTGCAGCAAGTTACTCAACTTCTCTGCAAGGCTGCTGCACACAGTTGTACACTCTGTACTACTGGACAGGGCAGTCCTGCCTCTCTGAGCCTTCCATAAATGGGAAGTTTGCTTTATTCATCACAGCACATCGTAATAAATACGATAAACGCAGAATGAGGTTGACTGTGAAAGTTAAGTGAGAAGAGGCATGCTGACTGACTAGCATGCTTCCTGGTGGACACTAAGCATGTAATCACTAATGAATTTTTTTAACACTAATGAATGTTCTTAGAGTTAGTATGAAGACTATTCAACTCAGCATGGCTGGACCACCTGGTTGACCACGATCAACCTGGCTCCATGCACTCAGAAAGATATTGACACATTTAAACATGTCCACAGGAGAACAACCAGGTCCAGGGAAAGAACTGGAAATGTGTCTGATGAGCAAAAGAGATCCACTTAACCCTGAGAAAAGAAGACTCAGGGGAAAGGAAGCCTGAATATCAATAACCACATTAAGAATAGCTTCACAATAGGCAAGATAGGGAATCAACCTAAGTCTCCATCAATGGATGAATGGATAAAGGAAATGTGGTACAACTACGTGATAGAATACTATTCAGCCCTTACAAAGAAGGAAATCTCGTTATTTGCAACAACGTGGATGAATTTAGAGGACAGTATGCTAAGTGGAAATAAACCGGTCACAGAAAGACAAATTATCTCACTTTATACCTGCATACTCTTATGCGGAATCTAAAAAAGTCAAACTCATGGAAGCAAAGAGTAGAACGGTGGTTACCAGGTGGTCAAAGGATATAAAGTTTCAGTTAGATGGGAGGAAAAAGTACCGGAGATCTATTGTACCACATGGTGACTACAGTTAATAATAATGCACTGTACACTTGAAAATTGCTGACAGTAGATTTTTAAGTATTATCACCACAAAAAAAAATAAGTATGTGAGGTAATGAGTATGTTAATCAGCTTGATTTAGCCATTCTACAATGTGTACATATTTCAAAATATCATGTTGTATACCATAAATACATACAGTTTTTATTTGTCAATTTAAAAAATAAATTTTAAAAGAAAAAAGAATAATATTTATTGAGCACCTACTGTGTCAGGTGTGCTTAATCCTTACAAGGACCTTAAGGAAGGAGGCAGATTCTTATCTCCCATTTTGCAGATGGGGAAATGGAGGCACAGAAAGGTGATGTAACGTGGCCAAGATCACACAATGTGTAAGCAGCAAAGCCTGGACTAAACTCAATGAAACTGACAGCCATAGATTTAATTTGATTTTAACCTTTAGAGGATCAAAAATGTGTATTTTGCTCAATTTAGTAGTTAGCCTAGCCATTATAGCAGTTAAGTACACAGCCTTTAGACAAATGTGGAAACTTGCACCAGAGTAAAGATTAGCTTAAAGAAGTTCTGTTATCTTTTTTTAAAAATGTAGCCAGTTAAGTAAAGTAATAAAAATTTAAACAATAGCCAAAAATGATTTTGAGTCACCAGGTGCTTGCCTCTGCTTTTGCTTTAAAGAGAACACTACTGACACAAAGATGAGCTGTTTTTGCAGATTTTGAGGTTGGGGTGACCTGAACACAGTCGCACAGATCAACTGGCACCCAGACAAGACAACGCCAAGAACCGAAATAAATCAAGATTAGGGAAGATGCTGAGTCTTGCACAAGAGCCAACCAATCAGAGACGTCCATGAGCTCCAGCACCTCACCCCTAACTTTTGTCTTCAAAAACCCATGAATGAAAGCCCATGAGGAGCTCGAGATTCTTCAGCACTGGCTGCCCCTGCTCTAATTACTTGGCCTTGTAGTTAAACACCTATTTTCCTACTGCAACCTGGTGTCTTGGCTTACCTGCGTACAGGTGGGCAGACCCAAGTTTGGTTAGGTAAGAAGTCTGGCTCCGGGTCCCATGTTCTTAACCATAAGGCTATTTTTTGTGTAATCATAGAAAAATGAGACCCATGCTAATGCGTGAAAATTACTAGGAATGGGGGAAGAAGTCGTAATCATTTTAGAGGAATACATTCTCTAAAGCGACTCATTTGAAAACACTTCAGGTAATATGGTAATGTCAGGGGGAGCAGTGGGACAGTAAGACCCCGAGAGATGGCGAGAAGGCCGCTGACCAGGGCTCCCCACCCTGCTCCACTGCACACTCCCTCTCCCTGACATTCAAACGCTGCTTGACACCCCCAGAGTGTAGGCTCCTGGTTCTCCCCCCCTGAAAATGATTCCTGGAGGATTATGCTACAATCACTGAATTACTAAATCACTAAATTACCTTAGAGCTGATCTCATCCAGGGGCTCCTCAGCTGAAAGTCTGAAAACAAAGGGTTCTCAAATAGGGGGACCCACACCTAACACGTGACCCAACCTAATGGAAATTATGCATTTACCTCGGAATGGACAGTGACCTGAGCATTCAAAATGTTCTGTTCCATGCTTGGAGCTGGGATTAACACTTGATAAATTTGCATAACATGCCTGGCACACAGGAGACGCTCAGGAATCATTTGCTTCCTTCCCCTCTTCATAACCCCTTCAAAGGGCGATGACTCATTGGGGACACCTCCCCACACATGCACAGAGAGAGACGTGGGAATATTGAGGGACCAGCCACTCCCTTCCCTCCCGGGGTCTTTTGCTGCTCAAAGGAGCTGGTGCTTAGATCGCATCTTGAGAACAGCTCTGAGGGCCCAGAGCCCACGTCCCTTGCCTGTGGATGGTGGAGGTATTCCTCATGTCAAAGCTGGAAGAGCCGATCCTCTCCAGAAACGCCTGGGCCAGTTCAGGTGTGATGTCATAAACTGTGTCCAGCTGCTTGGTGGCATTGTCATAGCTGATAAACAGCCCAATCTGGTGAACAAGAACAGGAAGATCGGTGACAAGGGCAAGAGTGACCCAGTGTGGCCCCACCCTGATGGTCTGTCCTGTGCCCCATCTCAGACACATGGATACACGCCCAGTTCTTGTAATTGATTTCTTAATGGCCTGTCACTGCTGCTTTGATTTCCTCTTCAACCCAAATGTTATTTAGGAAAGTATTATTTTTTAATATCTGAGCAGTTGTACTTATTTTAAGCTAATCTTTTCACATTTATTTCTAGCGTTGTTATATTGAGAATGTGATCCACAAATTGTCTCCTTTGAAGAATCAGAATTTGTTTTTAATAGAGGAGTGTGTTTTTAAGTTTATGAGCCACGCTCTCCCTCGGGTGGTGGAAGACAGTGTGTGTTCTCCTCATAAGATACAAAGTCTCAACTTTATTAAATATACCATTCAGATTCTCTCTATTCCTGTTCCCTTTTTGCCTACATATCCAAGGATGTCACACTGAAGTAGTCTACTGCCATAGGGCTCATATTCATCTCTCTTTGTATTTCTAACAGATTCTGCATTCTACATTTCAACACACTACAATTCTCTTCCTAAAGGGACTCATGAAGTTGTCACTCCCTTTTGGATTATACTCTTTGTCCAAATAAAATTTCCTCTTAGTGTTGTTGATACTCTGTGGCTTCCCCTCTCTTCTCTACCTTTTTAGATAATGAAGAAAAGTTGTAAATGCACATCTGATCTTAGAAATCCCACCCTAGGGGCCCAGTTTCCTAAGAATTTAATCTTTATTTACATCCTGAAAATTACTCAACATTGGGAGGGCAAATGGGGGTAGTTAATCCTAGGACTGAGGGTTATAAAAATTGGAAGATGTTTGAAATACTCCCAGCCTCCTAGGTAAAAGAGAGGGACCTAGTTCTGCCTCCAGATTCATAATAACCAGACATTGTTGGGTCAATTGGCCCTTGTACAAGCCAGTCGTTTGATGCAAACAGTTCTCTCACAGGCCAGGAGAAAGTCAGGGCACACATGATTTTAAAAATTTGGAGGTAAGCCCCAAACTCATTATGAATGCCCCCAGACTGGCAGCATTCTTTGGAGGCCGCATTCCAGAATCATAATGCCCACGTGATTTTAGTGTAATTGGGTTAAATCAGAAGGAGACAGGTTGACTAGTGAGTTAAGTAATCTTAGAACATGGACATTTCTCCCCTGTAAACTCTAGATTTAAAATCCAATCATTGCTCGTGCTGAAGTAGCTATTAATAGGTGTAGCCATAAATAGAAATAGCTATTAATCCATGTTGCTTTTGCTTGGGCTTCAGGCTTCCAAGGACGGGAAACTCTATAGCTATTGTCCTTGGCCTTTCTCGAGTACAAAAGTACTCTTAAATGATTTCGGTTCATAGCCAACCTTCTCTTTATATCATGTTTGTTCACATCATTTCAGGCTTCCAAGGACGGGAAACTCTATAGCTATTGTCCTTGGCCTTTCTCGAGTACAAAAATACGCTTAAATGATTTCGGTTCATAGCCAACCTTCTCTTTATATCATGTTTGTTCACATCATAGCTATCTTAGTTGCCCATAATTCTGTTTCTTTTCTTAGCTCTTTTGCACGAGGACTCAATCCTATGACTGACCACTTGAGGCCCTGTTCCAACAGTTTTCTCAGATGGGTATACAATTTCCAGAGCACCTTGACTGGCTTGCAGAACGTAAGAGATTTAGAATACACCTTACCCCAGGTGTATTAGTAATAGGGACATATAAATGTAATTTTTCAACTTACTTCTGTAGGGCTAATTTTCATAATTTCTTCAAATGATAGGTGAACCATATATCTGCCCAAAATCCATAAGTTTTCTGCGCTGACCCATGAAACAGAGTCATCTACAAAAAAATAAATGAATAAATAGGTAAATAAATAAAAACATTTACACTAGGATGTGATAGTCAACAGCACTTCTGACGTCAGGACCTCGTACTTGGATTCATTAATTCATTAATCATTCAACAACCATTTATAGAGAGCCTGTGAAACACACAGGCCATGATCTCAGATGCCCGCCACCTGAGACCTTGTCACTCAAGAGTGTGGTCCCTGCACCTCCAGCAGCAGCATCACCAGGGAACTTGTTAAAAATGCAGATTATTTCTTAATACTTAAGACTGCAAAGTATAGTTTTATTTTTAGTTCAATTAATTATTAAATAATCTGGCAATTTGAAATATGTTTAACTCTCTTTTATTGCTACCACTAATAATGTTTATCATCTTTATTAATTATCACCATGTTACTATACTTGAACCAAAGTACTCATACTTCCCCAAATGTTCTCCAAATCCTCTTTTTTTTTCTCTTCTTTTTCAGCTGGCCAGTTTGTTCGGAGATCTGAACGCTTGACGTTGGTGTTGGCAGCACCCTGCTCTCGCAAGTGAACTAAGTGGCCAGCCCTCTACCTTAAAGACAGGGCTCAAACTAAAATTTTCTCTTCCTTAAAGCTTTCTCTTGTCTCCCTAGCCTCTCTGAATTCCCAGAGGACTCTCTCTGTCACTCTGTTCTGACATTTGAAATTCTCCATCAGTGATATGTCAGTGGGACTTTAAGAACAATCATGTCCAGGAGCCAACTTCTAGTTTTACTGAGCTGGAATTGGCTGCCATTGACACCAATCCTTCAGTAAAAGACTTTTACACACAACAACATTGTATAGGTGGCATTTGGGGAAATGAAAAATGGGGGCAAGCATTACAGTGTGCAGTGAGTCAGCCAACAAGGTCTGTTGCAGAAGCCATGGGCAACGACTGATGTGCGAATGAGATGGAGAAGTCAACTTTTGCACGGGCTGATTCACAAGAACATATGGGGTGCCTCCTCCGACCCAGCACAGGCAGACTCCCTATGATCCCCTAGATGGGGACTCTGGACAGTTGACCTGACTACCGGAAGAAAGGGTGGCCCCAGAGGGCTAGAGAATTTTGAGGAGAGAACCACAAAATTCACCACGGACCAAGCTGAGTTGATCATTCTTTAACTAATTATTAAGAATAAACTGTATTTCTACAGATCAATGATTCTCAAGCTTGGGATATTCTTAACAGCCAAGGTACTTCCAGTTACCTCAAGAACCTTCATGGAAAAAAAAAATTAAGGTCCAAATAGAATTAATTTTAATTCACCATTGTTTAATAATGAAACATACCATATGGGAATTTTAGGAGGAAAGTTTGTCTCTCATTAAACTCTGGCAATAAAGACAGGGAAGTCCAGAGGTTGAGTGACTTTCTTAGGGTAACACAGTGTGAGATTCAGATTCAGTGTGAGGCCATAATTATGCACCAGGCAGAGGGAATTCCAAGTCTAACACAAAAGTAAGAAATACACACTTCAAGTTTAGTACAGAGTGCAGGCTGGCCCAAGAGAGTGAGCAGCTGCATGTTGAAAGTGATACAAAAAGAAAAAAATACACACTCCACAGGCAGAGGGCGGGCTGGCTCCAGGAGAGTAAGCAACAGCCCTGCCTTCTCCTGAGATTCAGCTTTTAGAGGTTTGCTATCTACTGCATATTCATACTGTCTGATGAATACTCAATTAAGGGGGGGGTGCCAGTTAGGTAACATGAATCTTTCACATGCTCAGTTGGACTTCGTTTAGGGCATGTTGACTGGTCAAATCCTATCACACGCACTAGATATATTCAAGAATATTCTGTGCACTTTCACATCCTTAGTGGAAAGTCATTCAACGGATAAACTCCCTTCCACTGAGCATGCTCAGTCACTGCAGTCATATTAAGCCTATATTAGGCCTTTACTGAGCATGCCCAGCCACTGGATTTGCATAAGTCAGCCCCCTGAGGTCTCAATTTCCCATGGGTTGGTGCCAAAAATAGGTCCAACAAGCAACAGTAGCTCTTCTCTAGGGGAGGAGTCTGAGGCCTCAGGGAGTGGTTTGAGACCCCCAGTATGTCCTGAAATCCAAACCCCAGGAAACTGATGACCACCTGTCTGTTTCATGTTCCTTACACACACATCTCAGAGCTTAGTTCCAGGAAAAAGATTGATTGGCATTCCTTACACCCCAACCCTGCAGGGCTCCCTGTATGTTTCCCCAACACACCAAGCTCCTCCCACCTCGGGGCCTTGGTACTGCTCCCTCTGCCTGGAACGCCCTTTCTCCAAAGCCTCACATGACCAATCCCATCTCCTCACTCAGGTCTCAATTCACATGTCATCCACTCCAGAGGTCTCCCCTGATTCCTTAGTCCAGGAGTTGGCAAACTACAGCCCAGGGGCCAAAGGCAGCCCACCATCTGTTTCTCTACAGCCTGTGAGCCAAGAATGGTTTTACATTTTTTAACAGTTGACAGAGGGCCGGCCTGGTGGCGCACTGGAGAGTGCCCCGCTTGGGAGCGCGGCGGTGCTCCCGCCAAGGGTTCGGATCCCATGTGGAGACTGGTTCCCGCTCACTGGCTGAGCGCGGTGCGGGCGCAACACCGAGGGTTGCGATCCCGTTACCGGTCAGTAAAAAAAAAAAAAAAAGACAAAAAAAAAAACAGTTGACAGGAAAATTCACAAAAAAATAATGTTTGTTGACAAGTGAAAATTATATGAATTTCTTTTTTTTTTTTTTTTTTTTTTTTTTTTTTTTTTTTCCG